GTTTTTCTTCCACAAAACTATTTATATTTGCCTCAAATCAATTGAAATTTATTTTTTGGAAATAAAGGACACGTAGGCCATCATGCAGCTGTGGGCAGTTTTCGCAGAGTATTAGTCATATAACATACGATGACAGCAAGACGTCGAGGAATAATGAATATCGGATTATCTGACTTCTGGTAGATGAACGAAAACCTCAATCACTTTTAGCTGAAACCGATATAAAACCGAAAGTTAACTTTTTTGTTTCGGTCGAATCCGAAACTAGGTCGAAAGTGATGAAATGGCAAATTTCGGCGTCGAAACCGAAGCCGAACCCGAAATTCGGTCGGTCTCTACTTAGGGCACAAGACAAGATAACATAATACACCTTTGACTACTTCATTGAGTCAGATCCTATAATATGAAACAACAAATATTGAAAGTCATGCAACCCATGTCAAACAACTGAGCCACCCAATCGACGAAATATTTTTCCTCAATCAACATGGAAACTGCGTGCGTAAAAGTCGTTTGGAAGAATTTATTATTATTATGATTATTATTATTATTATTATTTTTGTTGATAAAAGTGGGAGGGTCTCTTAGTCTTTAAACCACATCTATCTACAAAGTACATTTTAGTATGCATTATCGTTGTTTGTAAATTAAAACTGTTGGAGTAACGCATGATATCTTGGGGATGATCATTGTAATGATATAATAATAGTGATACTGCATTGTTTCCATTTCCTGTCTCAGGAGATTTACGCTGCTGAGAAAACTATTCTGTAGAAGTAAAATAAGCATATTATCTTGAGAGAGAGAGAGAGAGAGAGAGAGAGAGAGAGAGAGAGAGAGAGAGAGAGAAAGAGAGAGAGGGGTTATGGAAAGATAAAGAGAGAGTGTAATAAAGAGAGAGGTCCCGAGTGAATGACCCATTTGCACGTTAGAGCGGCNAAAATATTTTTCCCCCCCCCCCCCCCGCACTCTCTTTACCTAAAGGACTTTGGCCACCCTTCTATTTGATTGGGTAAAAATCAAAACTTTAGAACTTTAGAACTACGAATCAGGATGTTAACTTATCTATAGGGTTTCATATCGCTATTTTACAAATCAAATTATGCAGAATAAATTCTACAGAAATATTTCCTAAATGCATGCTACACTTATAGGTTACTGCTATGCGCTTCATATGGATAAGATGTTATTACTTATCCTCGACCCCCCCCCCCCTTCTTTTACTTTTCTGCCTAGGAAATCCGTAAAGAATATCATAATACTAAATCTGGTGGGGAAAGGGGGGGGGGTGGAAACTTTCATTCACCTAAGAAATAAAAAACACGCGAGCCGAGAAACAAAAAGACTTTAAATTATGCAGAATAAATTCTACAGAAATATTTCCTAAATGCATGCTACACTTATAGGTTACTGCTATGCGCTTCATATGGATAAGATGTTATTACTTATCCTCGACCCCCCCCCCTTCTTTTACTTTTCTGCCTAGGAAATCCGTAAAGAATATCATAATACTAAATCTGGTGGGGAAAGGGGGGGGGGTTGAAACTTTCATTCACCTAAGAAATATAACACGCGCGAGCCGTTAAACAAATAGACTTTTAACATTCTAAGGGAACGGTCACCTAATATAAAGGAGGACTGACAAGTCTTTCAGTGGTCGGTAGTCTCAGCTTGATTCTGGGGACAAATTGTTTTTTTTTAAACATATATTCGGAAATCATTTGCTCAGCGGAGTAGGCGAGTTCTTTTATTCAACTCAGAACTGAGACGGGAACTCAAACAAATTCTTTAGAGAGAGAAAATAATCTTCAAAGCACACGGTTACAAATAGAAATAAAATCGCAGCTTGCATAGTTGTTTGCTGCATAAAGAAACTTAGCTATTCCAATGTTTTAAAGCTAACAAGAAGATTATCGCTTGTCTCATCCTTAAGTGACAGTTGGGCGTAATTCACAACTTTTTCGATACCACGGTGGATGATTAAACTGAGTTAAGTCATGAATTATAGTTGTCTTGACAATTGTAATAATTATATCAAATTTTTCATTGCAGACGGATTCAAGGTTGGAGAGTTTAGTTGAGAGAAATGATGAAACTCTCGACACCAGCTGCCGTGGGATTGTTTCTGAACCTCTATTTCTTGACAGAACCCGTTCATGCGTTTACAGGTACCTTGGGCCTTTAGATATCGCGCACGGTTCAGACACCGTAGTCATTAGTAGTGCAGTCCATACTGGTTACTTTTGATTTAAGCTATATTATAAATGTAACCGAGTGGCAAGAGTGGGCGTGTGATTTGTTGGCTGTTGACACAATTTTACCCAGCTGGCAGAGCTAAAAACTGCAGCCGAGTGGCGAGTGTAAGTGGGCAGTTTTAAATATATTTTAGTTTATAAACTCAAGAAATGCACGTCCGGAGAACAAAGGCCTTTCATTGGTTCTCAGAACTGTCGACTTTCATTGGTTCTCAGAACTGTAGCCTTTCATTGGTTCTCAGAACTGTAGCCTTTCATTGGTTCTCAAAACTGTAGCCTTTCATTGGTTCTCAAAACTGTAGCCTTTCATTGGTTCTCAGAACTGTAGCCTTTCATTGGTTCTCAGAACTGTAGCCTTTCATTGGTTCTCAGAACTGTAGCCTTTCATTGGTTCTCAAATTGTAGCCTTTCATTGGTTCTTAGACCTGTAGCCTTTCATTGGTTCTCAGAACTGTAGCCTTTCATTGGTTCTTAGACCTGTAGCCTTTCATTGGTTCTCAGAACTGTAGCCTTTCATTGGTTCTCAGAACTGTAGCCTTTCATTGGTTCTTAGACCTGTAGCCTTTCATTGGTTCTCAGAACTGTAGCCTTTCATTGGTTCTCAAAACTGTAGCCTTTCATTGATTCTCAAAACTGTAGCCTTTCATTGGTTCTAAAAACTGTAGCCTTTCATTGGTTCTCAGAACTGTAGCCTTTCATTGGTTCTCAGAACTGTAGCCTTTCATTGGTTCTCAAAACTGTAGCCTTTCATTGGTTCTCAAAACTGTAGCCTTTCATTGGTTCTCAGAAATGTAGCCTTTCATTGGTTCTCAGAACTGTAGCCTTTCATTGGTTCTCAAATTGTAGCCTTTCATTGGTTCTTAGACCTGTAGCCTTTCATTGGTTCTCAGAACTGTAGCCTTTCATTGGTTCTTAGACCTGTAGCCTTTCATTGGTTCTCAGAACTGTAGCCTTTCATTGGTTCTCAGAACTGTAGCCTTTCATTGGTTCTTAGATCTGTAGCCTTTCATTGGTTCTTAGACCTGTAGCCTTTTATAGGTGCTTAGATTGTGGTATAAAACGACGCGGTAGAAGAAAACCAATTCGGAGAAGATACAAGAAGTACAGGTTGACAATGTCCTGATTAACATTGAATACCACGGCTAGCAATAAACATGTTAAATAGCTCTGTAATTACAGGTTATGCCAAATATACTTAACCAACACAACAGATACGTGATGCCCATATAACACCTGTTATAGAAAGTAAAATTGAAATTATTATTTTAGTAATGTTTCATTATAAAAGAAATCATGTGGTGGGATTTAACTGTTGAATGCTAAAACCCATTTGCGTACTTACTATAAATAGGGTCGCTGGAACATACCAGAGATCGACTTCATAACACATTGACCAGACATTATTACTTGACTTCTATTAGTGACATAGAAAAAAGAAATTTTGCGGCAAAATTTGATCGTGTGAACTGAAAATAAAATTCGACCAAACTTTCGTTCAATCAAACTTCCGTCGATCAATTTACCGTCGACGAAATTTCTTTTCAACAAACTTCATAACACATTGACCAGACATGTCTATTACTTGACTTCTATTAGTGACATAGAAAAAAGAAATTTTGCCGCAAAATTTGATCGTGTGAACTAAAAATAAAATTCGACCAAACTTTCGTTCAATCAAACTTCCGTCGATCAATTTACCGTCGACGAAATTTCTTTTAAACAAATTTCAGGTAACCTTACCCCTTATAAGGATCATCTTTTCCCTGGTACATCTTCTAACATTATAAACATTTTAGCACTCAGCTCCTCGATAAAACCGAATAAAATAAAAAAAATAATAAAAAGCCGAAACGAGAAATTTTCAGACAAAAGCCAAATATTTGACATCCCTTCCATCAAAGACAGACGAGAAAAGCACCGCCTAACATTCCTATTTATAAAGTGGTCATGGGGCTAGTGCCGGCCATCCCAGCAAACACATAGCTCTAACTCACCCCACAGAAGCCAGGTCGCTTAATCAGAGCCAAACGCTCACTAAACACTTACTTCACCTCTAACAACCCCCATAAGACTAGTTTGGAAAAAGGGGGGGGGGGTGAAATCGGCCTTTTGTTTATTTTAATAATGAAAATAATGGGCTTCACCATGTAAAAGGGGGCCGTTGTGGGCGTAAATATGAATCTTGCTCCCGGGCTCCAGGCGCTGTAGCTACGCCTCTGTAATATGCTATTGTAATATGATTTTTTTTTACTTTTTAAAGATCAATATTCTAAGGGTGCGAGATCTCTCTCTTAGGACCCCGGCCGTGAAACATGGCCAAGTAGTCCCTGGGGACTCCGGCCATGCAACTCGGTCATGAATAAAATTGGTTTGGGAAAACAGCTTTACTTCCTCTCCGGAGGTGGCGTTGCGTTGCCACCTCCACCGCCCGGGAGCTGTCCGTTTTTTTTTTTTTTACTCAAAAGGTCGATATAATAATCTTAACACAAAAATTTAAAACTTCGACGAAATAGGGTGTCAATTATATATAATAACAGCTTTACTTCCTCTCCGGAGGTGGCGTTGCGTTGCCACCTCCACCGCCCGGGAGCTGTCCGTTTTTTTTTTTTTTTTACTCAAAAGATCGATATAATAATCTTAACACAAAAATTTAAAACTTCGACGAAATAGTGTGTCAATTATATATAAACACTAATCACGAAACATAAATATAGTTATATATTAGTGTTATTTTATACCACAGCATGTGGCAATGAGTTGAGCGATCAGAGAGGTACGATTACATCACCAAGGTATCCAACCAACTACCCAAGTGACGCCAAGTGTAGCTGGACAATCACTGCCCCTCCCAATGAGATTATTGATATTAGGTAGGCATAAATTTAGGACACAATAAAAGTCTCTCAAATAAGGTACACCAGAAAATTATTAAGATATTAATATCAACTACGAAGTTTAAGGTTTTTTTGTTGCTTATTTTGCATAATAAATGAACATGTGAGTTAATCACACACACATTTTTGTAAGATCCAGGATTATTGTACGGATTAAAAACTATTCAATCATCTATAAATTAAGCGATACTCAAAATAAACTAAATGGCGGGAAAATCTGTCTTTATTCTTTAGATTTTCAAAGCTTGACCTTGATGGTTACACCGACTCGTGTCCGGATGTGGTAACTGTTTTTGATGGAGCTGGACCCCAGGCAGCTCCCATCACACGATTATGCAGATATAAAGAACTAGCTGAGTTGCAAGGCCTGCACATTCGCTCTACCGGCAATAAGATACACATAACGTTTACATCAGACAGTTACAACACAAGGCAGGGCTTCTTGGCAACCTACTGGACCCACGGTACATTACAATAAATTACATGATCTCATTATGGCATGGTAATAGTAATAGCCTGGGTTATTTCTTTTCATTAACAATTCCCCAAGTTTTGAGTGACAAAAAAAAAATATACTATATACATTTGTGCACAGAGTATCCAATGCATAAAATTTGTTTTTAAAATTACTTCCATGTGTATTTTTTTGTTTTGTTTTCAAAAGAATTACTTCCATGTGTATTTTCATTTTTTTTTCAAAAGAATAAAATGCATTTTGCTCAGCAATAATTTTCATCGTTATCATTATTATCATTGTTACTATGAAATAACCTTAACATAACGGATTAATAATTATAATAGGCAGAATGTTAGTAACGGGTTAGAGAGAAGATATAATCAAAAAGTATGTTTGTTTATGATTGCTTATTTAATTAGTACAAATGCATTAATTATTAATGATTGGTTCTGAGGTAAAATGTAAATTATTTTTACCATCATCATGTCATAATTATAATATTATTATTATATACTATATACATTTACATTTGATTTTATTGACACTGTTTTCAGCATGCCCACCTCTCAAATATGGGGTTGATGCTTGTAGCTTAACGTGTAACTGTGTAGCCAGCAACACTTTAGCCTGCAATAATGTGGATGGTACTTGTCTGTGTAAGGAAGGCTGGACAGGGACAGACTGCTCTATAGATGTGGACGAGTGTGCCAACACAGTGGTGGAACCTTGTCCAAGTTACCAAGACTGTTTCAACACACCTGGGGGTTTTACCTGTGAATGTAAAGAAGGGTTGGTGGAGACTGCAGATGGAATATGTCAAGGTAAGAAAATAAGTACATTTTTAAATATAACTTAGATATTTGGTTGAATAAAAAATAAATATTGAATTAATTATTGTGAAACAATCTTTGTGGCTTTTAAATTGATAATCCCCATCTGAGGGTTGATGGCAGGGTGTATTAGTATTTGATTCATTATTTGAGTAAGGAAACTACTGTCATTGACAAAAAGGAGGGAAAAAAACTGCACTGAAATCTGACCAGATCAAAGTAGATTGCTAGAGTTAAAAGTACAAAACCTTGAAAACATGAAACTGGATGCAAAAACGCTTTAATTTTAACATTTTAAGCTAAGTACCAGCTGAAAAATTATAGTATATGTGGCAGGGGTGGTGTCGAAGAAGTGTGAACAACTATTGCTTATTTTTCACAAATTTTCTGCCACATTTGTAATCAGTCTACTTGTTCTTAAATTTAAAGTTTCAGTGGATCCTCAGAACCCATTTCCAAATCGCTGAAGTTCCAAAACAAAATTTTCCTTTAAAAATGATAGAAATTGATTAATCTGTTCATGGGTCTTACAAACTCTATGGACACAAGTCTTTTTCTTAAAAGTCTCAAGCCTCTACCCTCCTGGCTTAAATCCCCCTTTTGAGCCCTAGTGTAAGGCCTTTTACTAAACCATAAAAATGTATCATCTCAGAACTCAGAAATCGCATGTAAAGGCTTTATACAACATTTGTTTTTATGGGTTGTTTTTAATGTAACTTCAATTGTAACTCTAACAGATGCCCTCTTACCCTTTCAATTTTTAGCGAAAATTTTATTTTTGGATTCCAAGTTTTTTGTGATCTAGGACGCATCCTGTTAATAAAACAGGAATAAAGAACTAAATGAATTATTTAAAAATGTATCTATTTGATGTTTTTTTAATATCATGTAGTTACCTTTTTTTAAAAAAAAATCAAAATTAATCATAGTCATTTAAGAAATTTTGGTAGTTTAAATGTTTATAAAAATATTATATAGAATATAAAATATATTATATAGAATATTGAAATTTCTTTTTGAGTGAAAGGGAAAACTAATTTTCCTGGCCCATAAATTTCCCATATTTTGTTTTCAGTGAATGCAAGTAGCAAGTGTCCACCTAAAAGTTGTTCACACTTATGTGTCAAGCTTCCCTCTGGAAACGACACGCAGGTGTGCTACTGTCCAGACAACACACAGCTGAATGAGAAAAAATGCTCAGGTCAGCTTCATTTTTTTCACAGCTTTTAAAAACAAAGAACGTTATCTATATAACAATCTGGGATGATTGTCTATCATATCTTCCATTTAATGCATATTGGCTGTGTTGCATAGGGTTGAAATGGGTAGAAAGACTTTGACTTGGTATTCTTGTAATTAGTTTTTGTAGTGGTGCGTTTGTTTTAAATGTGGTAAATTATATATTTTTTAAAAAATTTTTACTACTACTTTGTACCGCGCTTCGAGCCTTTGGGGATGAAGCGTGTTTCTGAAATAGACTTTATTATTATTATTATTATAACTTCTTCAAATCTTTAGAGAAAGCCACCAGAATATTTCATCATAAAACTAGGTCTATTTAATTAGAAGATTATTTCAATGTGCTCTAATAAATAGAGCCGATTGTTCTAACTAGAGCCCCGAGCCTAATAAAATTTGTAGGTACTTGATATCAATCCCTCACCATCATTTAAAATAATAAAATGCAACTATATTAATTATATTAATAAGACACAAACAAATTGTGTCAATAGAACAATATGAGTTAGCTTTAATAATAATTATACATCATACACAATTAAACGTTTCGGCACATGCCTTCATCAGTACAAACAAACAAAACACATTTAAATAAGCATAAATTAAATTTACATAATATCAATAGACAAATCCTACCTAAAACAGAAAAAATATAGGAGAGGGCGCTAAAACCAGACAAAAACAAAGTAAAGAGAAGTCTCTTTACTTTGTTTTAGTCTGGTTTTAGCGCCCTCTCCTATATTAATTACTATTATATCTATAATTTTTATTACCTGTAACTGGAATGTGTCCATACAATGGTAGTAGTTTATCGAGAATTGACCATGACTATTTTAAACATCGGCTTGTTGCTGCGGCTGAATCTGTCTGTGGTTGCGCAGATGGTTTATCAGACCGATTCTGGCACCGAATTTTCTCACACAGAAAGGTGCAGGGAATGGATGGACCAACTCCACGTACTGAGTTAACACAGGCTTTCTGGATTGTCTTTTGTGTTCTGCAGCAGCTGTTCTGTTAGCTTCATGTTGCATTGAGCCCTTGTGTAGGGAGGAGCGGCACGAGTCTCGATCCTTTGAAAACTCTTCCCACATGTACGGGTCAGTGTGAAATGCTTTCAAAGATGCTTTCAGTGTGTCTTTAAAACGTTTCTTCTGTCCACCAGCAAACCACCTGCACTGCAAGTGATTGTCTGAAATTCTTGCAACTTGCGCGGCCAGCAATGCTGGCATAGCATAAGGTGTGTATGCTGGGGAGACCTGCTTGTGAGTACCTCAGTGTCTGGGATCTAGTCCTGCCATTGGACGTTGATGACTTTTAGTTGTGTGAAGTGGTTTAGTTTCCTAGCATGGGTTTGATAGACTGTCCATGTTTCATGTGCACATAGAATCATTGGAAACACAGTTTGTAAACCTTTTGGTTTAGGTGCCATTGCATCTCCATACATTCTTAGACATTTAACCGAATGTTGCGCAAGCTCTTGCAATTCGAAGGTTCACCTCATCTTCAATGATTATGCTTTGGGACAGTGTGCTGCCGAGATAAGAGAAGCTATTTACAACCTTAATCCTTTTGCCATTGTAAGGTTGTTTTTTTTTGAGCTGGTAAGTACAGGCCTCAGTCTTCTTTGTGTTTATTGTAAGATTTAAGTTTGTGCAGGCATCCGATAAGTTTGCAACAGTGCGTTGCATAGCGGCCTCTGATTTAGCGTTCAGGGCTCAGTCGTCGGCATACAGAAAGTTCCTAAGCTGATGCTCATTTTCCAGACCTTGGCTTTAAAGTTCAGTCTCCTGAGGTTAAATGGTTAACCATAAATTCGGTATCTGATGCCTATTACAATTTCTCCCTCTCTGCAAGCGTCAAAAAGCATTGGGGAAAGCATGTTAGTGAAAAGTTTTGGTGCCAGGACACAACTTTTTTAATGCCATCAGACGCAGGGAATGGTTGAGACATCTCTCCATTATCTCGGACCCTAGCCTAAATTCTATCATACCATTGAAATTAACTTTGGGGGCATCCCTATTTGCCCATGATCTTCCAGAGAACTCTGCTGACAGTTGAAAAAGCTTTTTTCAGGTCAACATAAGTGGAGAAGATATCAACATTTTGTTCCTGTCACTTTTCCTGCAGCTGTGTAGCGGCAAACACCATATCGATAGTTTGGTGCTCTTTGCGAAATCCGCATTGGTTTTCTGGCAGTAGATCCTTCTAGAGATGCGAATTGATATGGTTTTAGGAGGATTCTGGCCAGCATCTTGCCTTCAATGGAGAGCAAAGATATGCCAAAGTAGATGTCACAGGATTGATGTTTCCCTTTACGATTGCACAAGTGAAAAACGGATGCGTCCTTCAAATTCTGTGATATCTTTCCTTGTTGCCATACAAGTAGGAACAGCTGGTGAAGTCTTTCATAGCTGTGCCACCTTACCTGTAAATGTCAGCTGGGATAGAGACATCATCACCTGGAGCTTTGCCACTCGAGAGAAGACATTTAGTGTTTCTCGCTAAATGTGTGAATGTGTGTGATTGGGGGGGGGGGGTCTTCCATTTCTTGTTTGATGAGCAGCTGCATGATTCAATGTATGGCTTCATCACTGCCGAATAAAGGTTGATGTGGGATCCTCTCAAAGCGCTCTGCCCAGCGTTCGATAATTCTTTTTTTTTTAACTGTAAATGTCAGCTGGGATAGAGACATCAGCACCTGGAGCTTTGCCACTCGAGAGAAGACATTTAGTGTTTCTCGGTAAATGTGTGAATGTGTGTGATTGGGGGGGGGGGGTCTTCCATTTCTTGATTGATGAGCAGCTGCATGATTCAATGTATGGCTTCATCACTGACGAATAAAGGTTGATGTAGGATCCTCTCAAAGCGCTCTGCCCAGCGTTCGATAATTCTTTTATTTCTTAGTATTTAGAGTTTTCACATCAGCATTCAGAAGTGGGGATGTAGACTTCTTTGAGAGTGGAGTAGAAATTTCTTAGATCGTGTCTATCCGCATAGCCCTGGATTTCGTCAGTCATTGTCAATCAACAATTTATCACGGATTTCATTTACAGTGATGAACGAACCTAGGGCCTGAGCCGCCTATATGCAGGTTTGCAACTACGGCTCCATGTACCCATCATCACAGGACTTTGGAGATGATGAAAAATAACACAACCATTGATAGATGTTTAAAATGACTTGCGCTATTTAAGAGAGGAATTGTTGCACAAATTTTCAACTTCAGTCTCTCACCTGACGTCGTCTGAGTCCAGCGGCAAGACAAGGTTGATACGGCACGGGACAGAATTGTGTGCAGTGAATGACCACAGCATTCTACATGTCTTGCCATGCTCTGAGCGATTCACATCCCGTCGCTGTTTTCTCTCTTCTGTCTGTTGACCCACTAGAGGTTTATCTGTGAAATCCCTCCGGATACAGCAATCACTTGCTGTGGGGAACAAGCCCTGTTTACCGAAGACTTGAAATCTTTTGGCAACTTGGCTCTTATCGAATCCAGGCCCGGCTTATAAAAAAATAGATAATAAGTATACATTTCTTCTCAAAGAAATAACATTTTTATTTTTCTAGAAAAGTAAGAAATAAAAATAAGTAGACGTAATGAAAACTTTTTATAAAAAAATATTATTTCAGCATGCCCTGGTTTAACCTACGGTAAAAACTGTGAGAAGACTTGTGACTGTGACAGCAGACATGGAAAGTGCAACACCGTAACTGGGGGGTGTACCTGTAACAAAGGTTGGACGTCTCCCAACTGTTCAGTTGATGTTGATGAGTGTGTGCTCAGTCTGGACTTGCTCATTTGTAAAACCCAACCACACCAGTTTTGTGTCAATACCGTTGGAAGTTATCGCTGTGACTGTGATAGAGGATTTCAGAAATCTACAAGCAACACATGTGGACCTATAGGTAATTTGATATTCACCATAATTCAGATCATGTATATACAGAGGGGGTGCAGGGGGGACAGATGTCCCCGGGCGCAAGCTAGTTAGTGGCACCAAAATGTGTTTTGATATTATATTATTGGTAAAAATAATGGGTTTGAGAGTTGAAAAAAAGAAAAGGGGGCGCTTTAAAATTGATCTTTGTCCCCGGGCGCGAATCTTGTCCCAAACACCCTTGCTACGGCTCTGTGCGTATATAAAAAAAATATGTTACTTTCCCTTAAATCACTTCACATGCCTGTTTACATGAGTAGTTTGCGAGTTCTATTTTATCTCATCAAAGTCTATGTTTTTGCTTAATAATAAAATCCGGAGTAGTCACTTAAGCTAAACCATAACAGAAATATCTTTAAAATGTTCCTACATTGATAGGAAAAAATGGACAATATTTCAGGGGAAAAAAATGAATAATTAAACTAATAAAATTGGAAGGAAATTGATGACTAAAGCTTGACAAAGCAACCATTATTGAAGAAATATTCTTACTTTTTGTTTACCAGCTTGCAATAAAACAGTGAATGCTACAACCACAGGCACCATAGAGATCAATAACTCGCCTATGACATATTGGCCAAATGCCTTCTGTACCTGGACGTTAAGTGGCATGGTACCCAATAAAATTTCTCTACAGTAAGTAAACATCAGCTTCCTAATCTATCTGTTTTTATCGGGAAAAAAATTTATAGTTCAGAAAATTTAGATGAATTATTTTAAATTATTTTTTTTTTATTTCTTTCAATTTTTTACTAGAGTTCTCAACCTTCCTTATGAAAATTTCAATTTTACCGGAGTTTGTTTGTCAGACTACGTCGAAGTGTATGATGGGCAGAATTCTAGTAGTCATCTGCTTGGACGATACTGTCAAGACAAACCTGTTTTGGGAACAATCAGATCAACAGGAAATATTATGCACATCGTTTTTAGATCAGATAGGCTTAATGAGAAGGGCTTTCTGAAGGCAAAATATACTGCATACAGTAAGTTATAAACCTGTATTTTTACACACTTTCTCATTACTCTATTTTTACCTATTTACACTCTGCAACATATCTACATATCTCTTTAACTTAAATTTTTCCAAGTCATTATAAAAACATTAGATGTTATGTAGTGGCTTGAATATTGCCAGTTATAATAGCCTATATATTGCCAAGTTCTGTCAAATAAGTGTACATTTCTACAGAATGAAGAGTATTTTTTAATATATATTTTTTTTCATACTGAGGTCTTATTTATCATCCTTAACAGACTATAATTTATGTTCTATATTTTGTTTTGCTATCCTATTTTTACTAGTCTTACCACATGTAATTTTATGAGCAAGCCTGGGTTTGGGGAGGGGGGGGGTCTCAGCTTCTTGGTGTAGTTTTGTGGTCTGCATATATATGATTGGTATTAAAGATGTATCAAGGTGAATTCAGTTTGGAAAAGAAGTTTATCCCATTAACTTACATCACAATATTTCATTTTGTTCTTAGCAAATGAATGCCAACAGAATGGCAAGAATAATAGAACTCAAATTTGCTTCATCTTTTTAATTTTTTACTGAACTAAAATAGCGATTTAAAAATGATAAAATTTGAGTGACTATTCATGACTGTTATGATTCAGATTATCCGGCATGTAAACAAGACCTTACTGTTTTGAATGAGCGGCAAATCATCCAGAGCCCCCAGTACCCAGGCTATGAGAATAACACATTCTGTTACTGGTTGATCAGAGGAGGCATCGGTAACATAATCTCACTGAGGTAAATTATTGTTCAATTTGAATTTCTTTAGCCATCTAAGAATTGCATTAATTAAACAGTCTATTAATTGCATTTGTTAGCATTAAAATGGTTGAGAGATTATCACACATTTGTTTGGTGATGTTATCTTCATTGAATTTTTAGACTGTCTTTCAGTATTAAAAATGCAAAATTTTCCACTGAAATTTTCATTTAATCCAGACATCTTGAACTCAAGGACCAAATGCAAGCCACAATACTTTTTCATAGAACCTAACTTTGAAGAAATCTGTAAACTTTAAAACGAAAATGGATGATCAAAGTATTGTCAGTAATGTTGCTTCTAGAGAAAAACGTAATTTCTAAAAAAAAAATGCCTTGTAATCATAACATCTTGTATTTTTCTTGAACAGAATAAATATTCTAAATTTGGACAGAAGTAAATCTTTCCTAGCTGTTTATGATGGCAAACATGCTGGAGATCGACTGCTAGGTCAATATTTTGGCACATCCATACCCAGTTTGATCAGATCAACTGGACGTTTTATGTATATTGTGTTTCAGTCAGAAGGAACCATCACAGGAACTGGATTTAATGGAACTATTCATGCCCAAGGTTAGGAAATAGGATTTGTTTTATATAAGCGATTCCCACATTTTGTTCAAATTACACACTTAAACAAATTATTTTTTTATTTTTTTGTTGTTTCAGCAAGGAGCAGCATGTAGAGAAAATATTATTAAATTAGGTTATGGCTTAATTATGCCTGTATTTTTTATATCTAATTTTTATGTAAAATGCACACAAAATACTTTTATATTTCTCTTTTTTTAAATATTTTTTTCACACATATTAAACTGGGCGACAAAAATAATGTGCTGCTGAAAACAGTTGTTTTCTGTAGATAATTGAGATATTAAAACAAAGGGACGAGATAGTGAGCCAAGAATTTCCTGACATTCAGAGAAATAGCTTTAATTTCTTAATGGATGAAACAAAAAAAATAAAATATTACCTATTAACTTTTACAAATATTATTTTACTTAATGACATGATATAGAGATTAAAAGTAAAAGTTACCATGAAAATAATATATTAAGAACATGATAAGTAGCAGCTTCAATAACAACACAAAACAATGAGTGTATGTTTTGGGAATGTTAGCAGACCTTTTATCATAATAATATATAACTTATTTAGAGTAAGGCCAGTAATTTGCTATTTATTTATGAGCTGTTTGAATAATTAAGGTTAAAAAGAGATTTTTTTTTATGTTTCTCCGGGGTGAAAGTAAAATTCTTGCTAAATTATTTAAATTTAATATAAAATTCTTAGAATAATTTTTCATTCAAGCTACTGTATATTACTCAGTGTTTTAATTTTCTGTGATATAAAATTTAAGGCCCAGTATTCAGAATACAATTTTTTTCCTTTATTTTCTGCATAACATAAATTTATAATTTCAATTTTACAGACTGTCCCAACTTCTTTTATGGCCAAGATGAATGCACTAATCCCTGTATATGTAAGGTAACAAACACTGCAGAGTGCAATAATATTAATGGCGCCTGCTTTTGTTTCCCTGGATGGACTTCCACTGATTGTTCTGTAGATATTAATGAATGTGAAAATCCAAACATCTGTAGACGTACTGAGAAATGCATCAACACACCTGGAAGCTATAGATGTGTATCAGGTAAATTTAATATTATACAGTTTTAAAAGCCTAAAACGTTATTGGTTTTTATGTTTGTGGAGCTGTAAGAGCTACAATAAAACTTACGAAATCTTGTTGCTAAGCATGAAAGTGGTATATGTGTGGCTTATGTTGCTATTATGTTGGGGATGAATCAACAGTTTGTACAATTTTGAAAAATAAATAAAATATTAAAGCAGCTGATTTAGTAAATGGGCTTACAACAGTGACCTCTAGGAGATATAAAAAAAAAAAAAGTATGGAAGAGTTTGGGTTAATGAAAAAAGAATGGTTGTTATTAGCCCTATCATTTATTAATATTCAACGATAAAATCTAGTGTGTTTACTATTAAAATATTTGATAATTCAAGTTTGTGGGACCCAAGAATGTATTAATCCAGTTTCTATTATTTTAAGGAGGGAAAATTGTCTTGGAACTCAAACACTTTGAACCCAAATGGGTTTCTGGAATGGATTAAGTTCAGCTTCCAAGGTATCATTTACTTAAAAACATTTGAACTTATATTTTTCTATCTCTCAGATTGTAATAAAGTTTTCTCTGGAATAACTGGCAACATTGAAACCATCGATTACCCTGATTATATTCTAGACCTGGCTACATGTAACTTCACCATAACAGCAATGCCACAGGAAGTTGTTACATTTAAGTAAGCACAGTTTAGAAAAAATAATAATGCAACACATTTAAAGTTTTCTAAAAGAAAAGGAAAGTCTCTTCACATGCAATAGAAGGAGCTATTACAGTGCTTCCATTCGTACTGCAATAATTTCTGATATAAAAAAAAATCAGAATATGTGGCTCAGATATTATATTTTAAATACAACTGATTTAAACATACAATATTTCAACGATTACTGTGAATTACACAATTAGTTATTGAAGATAAATTTGTTTTAAAGTATATTTTAAAATGTCAACAAGCCAAAAGTGGTTGGCCTACAAAAACTTCATTGAAAAAAGTAAATGATGTTTACCATGGTGCCTATTAAAAGTTATAGGTACCACCCTTTCTAAAATTTAAACTGCAAAAAAACAACATATTAACCAATTTAGCAATTTAAATTATACAATTAAAAGAAAGAAAACTTAGGCCCTTTTTGATAATTTCTAAAATTTGCTCTCAAGGATTGAGAAGGGCGATTTCACATTGCTAGAGACCGCCAACTGCAATTTGGATTGGCTTGAAATATATAACAACCAAGTAACTCAAGAGAACATAATTGGCAGATATTGTGGGACAAGGCTTCCTAATATTATCCGAACCA